CGGCTGCTCGCCGCCGTGGCCGCGGGAGCGCAGGGCGGGCGGCGCCGCTTCCCCTCCCACGACCCATTCTTCCCAATTCTGCGGTTTGGGAGCGCGGGGAGCCTTGGCTGCTCGGTATCTGCTTCAAGCACAACACACTGTGGGGGTATTTCGTATTCGTGTGTGTATGTGTGCTGGCTGGGAAGAAACGAAAGGGTCAATGGCTGTAGGTGTTCATTGATTTTAGAAAGGGAGAAACTTTCACTGGCTCGTTTATCTATAGCCTTCTAGGTGGCAAGTATTCAGCTTGGGAATTTTCCATTTTCTTGGACTTAACCTGTGTGCTGGAGAGTGAGGAAATAATCCTTCCTGGGGTTTGGTTTGGGTCCATGACATGGGCAGGGCTGCTGCGGTTCAGTGGGAACTCCCTATGGGTATTTTGTGAACTCTCACTTTTTCAAGGTTCAAAGTGGAAAGTCCTGACTGACCAGATTCAAAGGTCTTTGGAGAACTATGAACCATGTGCGAGTGAAAACTGCAGCTGCTACTACGGGTGAGTTTTCACTTTGAATGGTCTTTGAAATGTGATTGGTTTTGCAAAGCAAAAGGACTCTTAAGGTCCAGAAGAGACCTGGGTTACAAGAGTGAGCGAGCCAAGCACATTTTGAAAGCAGACAAAAAACGCCTGAGGAGGTTTTCCTATTTCTAAGGGGAGGAAAAGGCCCTAAGAGAGGGAGGGCCCTGTGGGTGGTCTCAGCATTGCTGCTGATGCCCTGTGGGGCTGAGTTTAGGCACTTGCCAGTTTTCCCCATTGGACTTCATAAGGTCAAGGTCTACATCTTAATCATTATTAGTTTCCCCAGGGCCAGCCGTTAGTAATACTCAATACATATTGCTGAATTAATGAATATGTTAATAAATGAATATAATTGTAAGTTTTCTGTTGGTTATTTTTAAAGCATGTGGCTTAGAGTGGTATGGTAGAAAGATATCTTGCAAGCTGTCAGGAGGCGTCCCTAGTTAGTCCTGCATTTCCTGCCAATTGGCTCCATGGTAAGCCACTTACCTTACTGTGTACGAAGGGATGCAGGGATGCAAAAGCAGTTAGTTCTGCTTATTACTGTTAGGCTGGTAGAACAGGTGGATGGGTATCAGCCAGACAGACTAGAACAAGGGAGCCAGACAATATTAGACTGTATGTGGCACAAACCATACCTTCTGTGCGATTCTGAGGAAGGGAGGTCAGAGGGGAGTTGGTGGTTGTGGCCATGACGTGAGTGACATGAGGAGTAGAGGTCAGTTAAGGAAGAGGCAATCCACACGTTGGGAGGAAACAGAAATTGACTTGCATTATACTATTTGTGGCTTCGTTGTTATTAAGGTTTTGCCAGGAGCCCTGATGGTGCAGTAGTTAGGCATCGGGATGGTGACCTTGAAGTCAGCAGTTTGAAACCACCAGCTGTTCCTTGGGAGGAAGATGAGGCTTTCAATTCCTGTAAAGAGTTACAGTCTCAGAAACACACAGGGGCATTTCTCCGCTGCCCCATGGGGTCACCAGGAGGCAGAATTAATGCAAAGGCAGAGAACTTGGTTTGGGGTTTGAGTTGTACTTCCAGCGAGGGGGGGAGTTTGCTCATTTCTGCCCTTTATTATTTTACTCTGCTTACCGCAGCTTATACTACTAAATTGAAATACAGAGAGGAAGTAGGCAGAATCGTGTAACTCTCTTGGCCTCCCTTCCTTGATGGTTTCCGTCCTTTCTCAGTGTCATAGAACAGGACCTGACTCCTTTCCGAGGAGGCATCTCCAAGAAGATGATGGCAGACGTCGTCAGACGGAAGCTGGGGACCCATTATCAGATCATTAAGAACACACTCTACCGGGAAAGTGACTGCATGTTTCCTTCAAGGTAAGTGTCACGAAGCCTATACAAATATCGCTTCTGACTCTATTTTGTTTGGGCTTATTTGATATAGTTTGTACAGAGTAAGGCAACTCAGGACTGACCAAAGTGAATTCCTCTTCACATTTCAGAGGGAGCCCTAGTGGCACAGTAGGCTATGTTGGGCTGCTAGCTTGCAAGGTCAGGAGTTCCAAACCACCAGCTGTCCCCAGGGTAAACTCTGAGGCGTTCTCCTCCCGTAAAGAATGACTGTCTCAGAAACCCACAGCAGCAGTTCTCCTCTGTCCGAATGGGTTGTTATCAACTCAATGGCAGTGAGTTCCTACATCATCACCTTAGTTTGCTATCCAGGGTGAACCTATTAAGCATTTGCTCACTGATCTGGCTGAAAAAATTATGTGTGCTATATCGGGGACATGATCTTAAAATACTCCTCCAGTCTCATCTTTAGCAAGAGCATACCATGCAGCTTGGGGAAGGCCCAGCTCCTTCCTTTTGGAGAGGCTTGGGCATCTCGAGTTGGACGGACCTTGACTCTCTCCCCCTTCTCTTTCTTTCCTGGATACAATAGCCACAGAACACAGGCAATGAGACCTAGGTGAGCTGAGCTGAAGTGTAGGTACTTATGGGAGTCTGGCATAGAGACCAGGTGTTTAAGGATAGGTAGGTCTCAGACTTGAGAGGAAGAACTGAGACTACAGTGCAAGGCACCTCGAGCCAGAACTTAAGGTGTGAGACAGGCGGTAACATAAAAGTGGGCTAAGGGCCAAGATGAGGGAGCACCAAGGATCACAGGCTGAGTCTAGAATTTGAGTTTAGGCAGCATTACAAACAACAAATGATTGAGCTTCCTTTGAGGGACTCCTCACCCCCTTTTTCTTTTTTTAAATCCAAATCTTTATAAAATTAACCCACAGAAGCCTGTTTTCATTGGGTCAATTCTAACTCATAGCACCCTTCTGTGACAGAGTGGAACTTCCCTTCTGCATTTCCAAGGCTGTAATCTTTAAGAAAGCAAAGTGACATAGATTTCTCCTGCAGAGGGGGTGGGTTTGAACTGCCAACCTCTCCGTTAGCTGCCAAGCACTGTATATACCACAGTGCCACCAGGGCTTCTCTCCACAAGCTTTAGAAGATACAAAACCCAGAGGGTATCATGTTGACAACCCAGGAATCTCATTCTACTCTCTATTCTTCTTCCTCTTCTTTCACAGCAACTTTATTTTAAATGAATGCATGTTCACTGTGAGGACATGTAGAAAGAGCCAAAGAAGAACTCAAATATCACTGTTGTGGATTGTCATCTGTGCCCCCATGTGTGTTTTAAATGCTGACTTCCATGTCTCTAGTTGGGAGTAGGTTGTCTTTGTTATGGTAACGAGGCAGGCTCAGTGTAGGCTGTCTCTTTGGAGATAACAAAGAGATTAAACACCCTAGTGGGTGAGCGGAGGTAGGGGAGGAGAAGCCATATGAAGATTCCCTGGGAGCAGAAGCCCAAAGACACAGGAACTTCCTCTAGAGTAGGCGTGGGGAGCCTGTTTTTCTGCCAAGGGTCATGTGGATAGTTATAACATAATTTCTTATAAATGAACGATGGCTAAGGGGCCCTGGTGGCATAGTGGTTACGCACTGGGCTGCTAACCAAGGGCAGTAGTTCAAAACCACTCGCCTCTCCCTGGGCGAAAGATGAGACTACTTACAGCCTCCAAAACCCACAGGGACAGTTACACTCCGAGCTCTCGGGTCACTATGGGTAGCATTGACTCCAGGACAGTGAGTTTGGTTTGGGAATTGATGGCTGCTTCTCTGTGGTGAGGTGTGTGATGTGGCTGGTGTTGACTTCACAGGCCTGAGAAGGCCTGTGGGCTGTTCTGCTCTGGAGCCAGCCGAGGAAGAAAGGCTTTTCCTAGCTGTCTGAACTATGACACTTTTAAGCTTCTTCAACACTGTGAAGACATCCGTGTCTTATTTCTTAAAGCTGCTCACTCGTATTTCTGTTACAGCAACACCAGACAATGAAAACAATTACGTAAAGTGCTTGTACACTGAGGGAATCTGTTCCAGGTGGGTTGGCAAGGGTCAGGCGGATCGAGGAGTGGGGAAAGTCATGGAGGCCTTTTAAACAGACGTTTGTTTCATTGTATTGCAGAATCAGAGAATTTAAGTACAAATTATGAGCCTAATTTTCACAAATTAGAAATAAAATAGAATAGGCATTAATGGATTTTAAAAGCTTTCCCAAATGCTCAGGAGCTAGCTGGACAATTTCCGGGTGGGAGTTATTACTTTCAGAGTTTCTGAAAGGCACATACCTGCTTATCCCAGACCTCACAGCGTTAGGATCTGAAGTGCCCTAAGGAAGTACAGGTTTTTATTTCACTGACAAAAGAATGGTCTACTACAGGGGTTCTCAACCTTCCTCATGCCGCGACCCCTTAATACAGTTCCTCATGTGGTGGTGACTCCCCAACCATAAAATTACTTTCATTGCTACTTCATAACTGTCATTTTGCTACTGTTATGAATCGGGCGAAGCCTGTGAAAGGGTCATTCGACCCCCAAAGGGGTTGCGGCCCACAGGATGAGAACAGCTGGTCTACTACAGTATTATGGTGCTGGTGAAGACTAGGGAAAGTCCCACGGACTGCCAAAAGGACAGACAAGTCTGCCTTGGAAGAAGCATGGCCAGAGGGCTCCTTAGAGGCAAAGATGGCAAGACTTTGTCTTACCTACTTTGGACATGTTGTCGGGGGAGACCAGGTCCTGGGGAAGGCCGTCATGCTGGGTAAATGGAGGGGCATGGAACAGGAGGAAGGCCCTCAGCGAGATGGACTGACAGTGGCTGCAATCGTAGGGCTCATGCACAGGAACATCTGTGAGAATGGCCAAGCATGGCCATGTTTCATTCTGTTGGGCAGGGGTTGCAAGAGGCGCAATCAGCTCCATAGCCC